GCGTCTTCTCCCTGCTAGCAACGACTATGGTGCGTGGGGTAACGGGAACCAGCTCCGATACCAATGCAATCAGACTCGCTTTCTTTCCAATGCAAACAGATGGAGATTCACACTGGCGCAGGGCGCCCACTCAAAGCTTAGAGATATGGAAATCAAGAACACAATTCAAATGCAAGTTCTCTTCAACAGGCTATGGCGCATCAGAGCCTGAACATCCCCACCTTCGTCACTGTGTCCAACCCCACTGTTCACACACGCTCACTCTGGATCACCCTGAATACCACCACACACATACACTGTCTAACTTCCCCCTACAGCGGCTATGGCCGCACTACCACTACTGACTATGGCTACGATCTCCCTTCAGCCCACTTCGTCTTCGGGCAAAATTTGATGATGTGACCAGGATCACCGCAGTAGATGCACTGATCCTGATCAATCCGCCGTTGCCACACTGACTGCTCTAAGCCCAAATCTTCCCATGGCCTGCCTTGCGCCAAGCCTGGATGCCATCCACCTCGACGTGGAGGTGACCTATAGGATCGTGAGCGATTTGGCGGGGGACCTTGACCCCTACCTCCCTCTTGGCGGTTTCCTCTGCCGCCAACCCCCTGAGCGCCGTGTCCTCGGCCACCTGAGGCCCGGCCCCCTTGTCCCTGGCCCCCTCCTCTTCCTTGCGGCCTCCCTCCAGCCGCGACAACACCGTAAGTCCTCCCCTGACCTCCACTACTCTCCCCCTCATCTAGGCCCCACTCTATCTGGCTATATGGGACCTCACCTGTACCACCTTCATCTAACGTAAGGATCAGATGATCCTTTCCCTTTACCTGACCTGAGATGGTACGACCCTTCCACTTTTTACCTTTATCTAAGTCCTTGTGCCAGAAAGTGGAAACTGGCATGGACTGCGCCTCAAACAGCACCACCTCTCTACTCAACGCATCGTGTGTCATGGTGGGCTGCCGGCTCTTCTCAAAGAAGTGCACCCGTAGGGGCTCTGGCATGGCAGGATAGAAGAGATTGACCAACTGGGTCTTAGTGACCCCGTGGTCTGGGATGTCTACAAGCTCGTCCATTACGCCTTCGAGGGCTCTGACACTCCTCCACTGGCGTGAGTGGATAGTCTGCAGTTTGTCAGAGGCCCTAACGCCTCGCGTGACATCTGCGAATCGCTCCTTAAGGAGCCGAAAGAACTCGGGGAGAGGGTTGACCTTAGAATAAGCGGCCATGTTATTCTCGCACTGTGCAGCGCAAGCGAGCGATCTAGTGAAGCTGGCGGCCTCAGGGCCTGGAAGGCTGTGAGGACTTGTTCCTCTGTGGCAAGATATGTTGTAAATAAATGTATGTATATACGTTGGCCTCCCAATTATCAAAATTTTCTTCTTTCTTCCCGCTGTAGGACTCAGGAAACTTTATCTTAACGGGCTCTCTGCGGGGGCGTGGCTCTTCCTCCTTCGGCACAGCTAGCTTTGCGCCCTCAATGGCGCCTGTGCAAAACTTCTCAGTGCCCTCTATTCTCGCCTGCACTTCTGCACCTACGTGCAGCATCATCTCACATGCAAAATCGCTAAAACCCAGAAGGATGGAGTGCAAGGCGATGTTGTGGGCTCTAGAGAACTGGTGTTGCTCGTCCCAAGCTCTGGCGAGGAGTTCTATGTTTCTCGAAATAACATCTAACTTTCCCTGTATATCTTCTTGTGCCTGAAGCTCCTCCCTCTGCGCCTTTATCACCTCCAACTCCCTCGCCGCCTTGTTTGCCTCCTGCATCCTTCTCTTCTTTTCCCTTGTGAGATGCAGTTTCCATTCAAACTTCTTTTCCTCCTCTATAGTCTGACGCCTCAGAAGGTCTTTTTCCGCTTCCCACTCCCCGATTACGACTTTCTTCTCCTCTGGGGAAACATATAACATGGCCTTCCTCTTCTCCTAGAGATAAATTAGCTACCCACTCCGACACTTTCTTCTCCAGTCATGATGCATCCTTCTTCGTGCCGCTAGTTTCGCCTCTCTGCTCCGCACTCCTTCTGAGCAAAGGTTCTTCTTTTTCTTCTTCTTCTTCTATTTCCTCCTCTTCCACTTCCTTCATCTTCTCTTCCTCCTCCTTCGATCTTTCCATCTCCTCCTCCAGCTTCTTCTTCTTCGCCGCCTGCTCCTCCTGCATGGCCAACTTCTTAGCATGTCTAATTAACTCCTTCTTAGTCTCTTTCTCTTTTCACTCCCGCAGTATGGCGGTGGCTTGCTCTTCCTGAGCCTGGGTGCAAGGGGTGGTGCTCTTGCCACTACGCGTCTCAACCATGGTGAAAGGTGCACAACCAGAAATCATTTCCACTCCTCACCACGTAGACTCTCACCCCCTGACTGAATCAACCTAGGACTGACTCAATCTAAGGACCACAGAATCTTAGCAAGATCCTACCAACTAGGGTCTCTAGCCTAGACCTAAACTAAGGCTGTCACTACAGGACTTACTGTTGATCAGGAGGCATTTAAGGAGATCCCCCGTAACTCCTCAGGAATTATTTAACGTCGCAAACAGGACGACGCGATCAGCAAGTCCTCTCAAGACTTAGACAGCTTGTTGTGCAGCCCACAGCTCGGATTTTGGGCCTACCGTGCCACATGGAGCAGCCCGCCGGTCAGTACCAGTCCTTGGGAGGGTTCGTGTCCTCCGGGTCAGTCGAGTCGTCAGACACAGCCTTTAGCCCTACTCAGCCCGTGTGGGTTTGGTCAACAAAGCTCTATGACCACATACACAGAGTTCCTATCACCTAGACAGAAGAGACTCAATGCAGAAAGAAGAGACAGAGACTCAGCAAGTACCATGGGGTGAGTGCACATCCATAGGGCATGGGGATAGGCTGAAGGCTTGGCGAGAATATACCAACTCCAGATTGGTCAAATTCGTGGTCAGCGGCGCTGGTCAACGCCTTGGTCAACGCTCGGTCAATGCCTAAGTCAACTCCCAAGTCAACCTCGGTCAACCCCTTGGTCAACACTTCGGTCAACCCTCAACTTGGCTATGGCTGCCGCCACTTTCTTCCTCACCAACCCTCGCTTCTCTTCTTCCCACCTCTCTTCTTCCTCACTTTCTTTTCTCTGCACCCCCGGCTATGTCTTTCTCTTCTTTTTTTTTTTTTTTTTTTTCCGTCTCTCCCTTGTTCGTCCTCGGCTATGGTTTCTCTCCCCTTCGTCTCTCCTACTCCGGGTCCCACAGGTTTGGTCCTCCTTTCCTAGACCAACAATCCCTTGAAATGTGGCCGTACTTCCCACAGTCATAACATATCAACCCTCCTCGGCTGCCGTTTCTACCTCTACTGTACTTATTGTTATTATTACCCCTGTTGTAATATCCCCCGTTAGCATTGGAGCCCTCCATAGCCCCATTTATTCCCTCTGTAAATAGCCTCCACACCTAGCTTCCTCTCCTGTCTTCTCCCCATACATTCTACAACAGAATACCCAGTCCGTACGAGCTAGAGCCCCTGTAGACAAAGCCACCACTGTTCAAGATAAACCTGTGGTTACCATGCTCCCTCGAGTTAATGCGAACTGTGGCTACACAGTCCGTGTGAGCAAGGCAGGAAATCCAGCAGAAATGAATCTCAAAAGACAATCACTGATTACAATATCTATAGACTCCAGAACAATCACGGATCAAACTGAATATTGCACCATGCAAACTCAGTCATTGCTGAAAGGTTGTGCCATGCACGCAAAACTGCACGACTTTCATCCTGACGGCAAAGCGTTCTGCAAATAGCGCTCGTCAGGAGGGTGGACAACAGTCCTGTGAGGAGAGACAGCTATCAGCCATGCTGCCTCGGACACATAATCGGCTCAGCGATGCTCCAAACCTCACCATCCTACCCCAAGCTCCGCCGTCTTTAACTGAAACAGTCAATTCCATCGTGAACCTTTCCGTAACACTATCATAAATTACCTCCAAGAAACATAACCCTCTAGCTATTCCCCTAATACTGGAAAACGGGCCTGATGCATCCACCATGAGTGCCACGCCCAAGTATGGCACCTGAGTATGTCCTGTCCTGTATTGTTACCGCCCGGAGTGGTACCTCCTTTTCCGGATCTGACATCTATGCCTACCCTCAAAATGTTACGCCCGCGGATTCCTAAGACAGTCCTACCATAGAAGGGAAAAAGAAAAGAAAAGGAAGAGAGAGAGAGAGAGAGAGAGAGAGAGAGAGAGAGAGAGAGAGAGAGAGAGAGAGAGAGAGAGAGAGAGAGAGAGA